ACAAACTTACAAGAAACCTTAAACAGTAAAAGTGACGTTGGACATACACATACCATTGCAAATATTACAAACTTACAAGAAACCTTAAACAGTAAAAGTGACGTTGGACATACACATACCATTGCAAATATTACAAACTTACAAGAAACCTTAAACAGGAAAAGTGACGTTGGACATACACATTCTATATCTGAAATAACAGACTTAAACGTTAGCCTTGAAAAGAAAGCAGATAAAACATATGTCAATGAAATATACCAAAGTTTGATAGGAACAACAAAAAATATTGAAACTATTGTTGGTGACTTTTCTGTCAATGAAGAAAATAAATATTTTAGATGGCAGTTGGTACATTCCTTAGAAAATGGTACACGGTATAAACTCATTCCGAAAAATAACAATGAAATGTATGTAAGCTATAAAAAGAATGATGTACACAAGTTAAAGTTCCATTAGACAACAACTGCTACTTAAACTTATATGGAGACGAACAAAAGAAATATTTAAGAGTTTATGAAATGGCAGATATGACATTGCCTGACCCAGCTCCAGCACCACATTATTATGACTATGGAGATGACGACAGAACACCACATGTAGATGAACAAAAGCTAACATTATATTTAGATTATTATAGATATAAAAGATATAATGCAATAGAAAAACGAGAATAGTATATTATTATACAAATGACAGAAATAAATATTATAGTCAAGATTTTACCTACCCTGAAAACATAAGATTATATTATAAAAAATATTCTGACACAAACCAGAAGAAACCTGAAATAGTTGCACTATATTTTAAGTTCAAAAAAGACAATCCTATAATATCTCATATGTTTGATTTAATGAACCCAGTAGGTTCTATTTATACATCTATGGATGCAAGAGGTCCTCAAGTAATGTTTGGTGTTGGTGCATGGGAACAAATAGTCGACAGTTTTTTGTATTGTGCAAACTCTTCAAAGGAAACAGGTGGAAGTAAAACGATTTCAGGTGAAAATTTACCTGCACACAGTCATTACATAGATTTAAGTAATCTCAAGCAGGTTGGCATAAGCATAGATATTGGGATTGGTCAGGAATGACAAAAGGTAAAGGATATGATGTTAAAGACGACGTTAAGTTTGCTATAAATTGTTACTGGAGTGACACTCAGGGAGAAGGAAACCATACACATTTCGTTTCAGGATATACACAAACAACGGGACAAGTAAAGAATACATGCCACCTTACATGACAGTTTACGCATGGTATAGAATTGCTTAGTCGTCATTTTCAACTTCTTTAGCATATTCGTCAGGAGTTGTCTTTATATTTGTTAGGAACTGTCTTTGAAAGTATACCACCTTGAACTTTGACAAGTTTGAAACGAGGTCTGGCAATAGTAGTTTTATCTTCTGCTTGCAGTGTGTACATTTTGCCATGTTTGCCTAAAACTTCATAATATTCTCTTGTATACTTTCTTCTATTTTTACGAACACGAATGTGAGTACCTGTCGGTTCCCATTGTTGTCATAGTCAATAGTATTTTTCATATGGGTCGCGTTTAGGTATTTCTATTTTTTACTTTGTCACCTTTCTGAAGTTTGAAGCCCGGCATTCTTTCTTGTTTGTCTCTTTTGACTAAATTATTAAATATATAGTCTTTCTCTAAGTCAGGGTTGTTTTTCATTTCTTCGGGGGAGTGGTTTCCCAAACCTTTTTGTTTACGGTTATTGTAAATATTTAAAACTTGTTCATCTTTGCCATGGAGAAGTGTCTATACTTGTCGTCATATGACATTTCATTTGCTTCACCACCTTGTGGTTGGTTTAAGTCTCTTAACATTTTTATACAACCGTCAATGACACCAAGAGCAGAATGGTTTTGGTCGACAATGAAATATTGGTTTACATTTTTTGAACGCAGATAGTTTTTTACATCATCTGATTTGAAAGAACTTTCACAGTCAGATGTCAGTTTTGTTGGATGGTATTTGTCAACGAATATTGTCAAAGCAGTTTTCACATCTAAAATATTTTTGGACCATAATGGTATGGCTTCACAGTATCTTGTGTTTTTGACCAACAAATATTAACCAGTATGGAGGTCCATCTGTTCTAACTCTCGGAATGTTTTCCAAGATATCCATAAACCAAGCATTTGGTGTTGAACTAAAGATTTTTATCATGAGTGCTTTCTTTGTCGCTTTAGAAACATAGGGGTCCTTGTTCGGATTCGTCATTTTTTACCCTATAAGAAATGGGTTTATTTGGCGCATTAGCAGGAGTCGCATCTAGATTTTTACCCGCAGTGGGAACAATAGCCAGAGGTGTATTTGGAGTTGGAAGGAAGATTTTGAGTACATTAGGTATACTTAAAGAGAAAGCACAACCTATTATACAAACTGTACAGAAAGGTTGGGATGTAGCACGAGATGCAACAAATCTTATTCCAAATCCTGAAACAAGAGGAAAAGTTCAAGGATGGATGGACAATGTAGGAAGACAAGCAGGAAACTATTATAACAAAGCAAATGACTACTTAACCAAGCAGGACACTATATGGACCAAGGTGAAAGATTCTTTAACAGAGGATATAACCACACAACAGTGGGTAAACAATAACCAACCGCAACCACCTCAAACGTGGGGACTGTAAATTTTTTTACTGAGATGAAATGAACAATGCAGCATTGAGACAAATGAGTTCAAGATGGATTTGTCGGCTTCCAGCAGTTACACCACGTGTTTGTAAAGTTCTTCCTATACTCAGGAAGTTTAGACCGACTTAAAAAACCTAAACAACCAGTTGAAAACAAACCAAACTAAAATTTTTTACTGAGATGACGAAGAAGTTGAAACGGTAGATTTGACACCACAAACAAAAAGTTCAGACCATTGTCAAAACCTGTCAAAGAACTTACAGATGAAGAGAAAAATTCAATAATAGAAAGTGCCAGGTCTGGAAATACAAACCCTAACTATAAAGTCACTTTTCATAGAAATGGAACGGCTAGTATCTCAAAAAAGAAACAGACTCTCACAAATAAAATATTGAAGTCTGAAGGAGCTTTCGAGACAACAGATGGAAAAGTTTACTTCACTGACCAACAGTTCATTATAGAACATCTCATTGACTTAGAGTCGAAATTTCTAAACTTTACACAAACACAAAAAGTTGAAAGGAAAACAAAAACAAATGGCATATGATATTTATGAAGATGTTGACGACACAACTGTTCTGCAAGTGAAGTAAAGTCAGAGGAACCGAAAAGTGACGAAAAACCGATAGAAGAAGAAAAACCAAAAACTGAAGATAAACCAAAACCAAAGTTTAGTTTCCAAACTAAACCAAGTCAACCTTCATTAGCTGGTATGGGTTGGCGTCAAAGACTTATGGCAGCAGGCGGTTATGTAAAGTAAAGAAAAAAAACATTTTTTTTATTTTTATAAAATGCCCCATATAGAATGGACAGAAAGTCTGCTAGAATAAAAGCAGAGTTACAAAGATATGGTTGGAGAGTTTCGAAGAATTTTAAAATATAGGAAGGGAAGACCCATAAAAGTCTATGACAAATTGTCTGGTCTTCGCTACGAAATGGATTTGGAAACAGCACGTGCAAATTATCCAAACAGACTAGAGAGGTTAGAAGAAGAACGTCTTATGGACATGCCTTTCGATGTTAGTGAACCTCAAGTTGAAGGACACGACGGCTTTGCCAGATTCTACTGGAAACATGACGAACAATTGCATCCTTTGAGAAGGAAAAAAGGAAAAGGTGAAGACGCACATGCTCCCATGGAAAGAACAAGATATGCATATGAAAAGTATCGTGAAGTTAGAAGTCAAATTACATCTGGTCGAACCTTTACAGTAAACTTTGACGAAGAAAGAACAAAGAAGGCTTCATGGGTGTACTTGCTGCAATTCAAGACGGAAATAAGAAAGGACACAATCTCAGATTGACCATAACAGATTTGGATGGTCACATTTACTATGCACATGGCAATGAACAAACAGCCGCAAAACTTCTTGACGCTTTCAAGACTACAAAGAGAGAACAAATGGTTGACTCCGACTCAGACATTTTGAATGCAATTGAAGGAATTGCAAGTGTCAAGTTCGAATGGTACCAACCTAACCCTCAAGCAGTCAGACAACATGCTGGATACTTCCCATTCATAAATAAGTCTGACATTGACTTGACAAGGTATGGAATTTACAATTCAATTGAAACAATTGTCAATGAACCTTGCATTCTTACATGTCTCAGGAACTCTGGTCTTGTTACAGATGAGAAGATGAAGTATCTTGAGTCATGTGTGAAGACAAGGTACATTCTCAGAGGTCAATTGGCAAAAATTGCACCGTTGGCAAATGTCAATATCCGAGTCAACATACCTACAGCTAAAGGTTCTTCACATGACGACTATGTTGTTGACAAAGACTTACCATGGTTGAAGATTGTAATTGTCCACAACCACTTCATGTTGAACGAAAGTCTTACAAACCCATTCTTTGGTAAAAGTAAGTGCAACATTGTCAGAGCTGTAAACATTCTTTTCGAGAAAGGTTTGTTGGAACCAATTCCAGATGACAAGCTGACAGAAACTTTTGTACCAAAAGACGAAACAAACTTTTCATTGTTAGCAAGACCAAAAGTTGTTCCAGACAAAGTTCTAGTACAAAAGAAGTACACAATTCCACAAGGGTTGGTATGTTCGGATACCAACCTGAACCAGAAGAACTTCCATGAGGTTGCAAGAACTTCAAGATGCTATAAACAAACTTCCATTGAGACATCCAATTGACGTCAAATTGTATTGGAGAGCATCTGAGTTAGGTCAGAAGGTTTTATATGAAACAGGTTGCTTCGACGATGTTTATGAGATAACAGGAGAAGTTTCTCAGAAGATAAGAGACTCACTTGAATTTCCACAAACTGGACCAATTGGTTGCGACAAGTTCGACTCAGATGAAAAGATATACTATGTCGACCTTAACGCTGCATACATGAGGTTTGTCCAATATATTCCGACTGGAATTCCAAACGAAGATGGTGAGTTCCCGGGAAGGAACTATACAGTTGGAAAAGTCATACAACAACTGTATGATATTAGGAAAGCTTCAAACCCCAAACTTGCAACGACACTCAAATTGCTTATGAATTCGACATGGGGATATTCCATTAAGAAACCTCAAGAGATGAAGAGTAAACATTATGAGAAGGTCAACAACTTTGTTGAAAGGTTTTCTCCTTTTGTTTTGAAGTACGAATTCACTCAAGGTCAAAGTGGCTTAGTAACCACATTAAAACCTATTGTCGAACATTGGTCTTACCCTCAGTTCGCAAAGGCAGTCCTTGACAACTACAACAAATTCTTCTCCGAAGTCAAATCCAAAGTGAAGGTTTACTATGAGAACATTGACGCACTCATGACGAACGAAGAAGGCTATAACAAACTCATCGAAATGGGTATGGTCGGTGAAAAGATGGGCTGTTTTAAGCTAGATAAGGTATTTTCCGAAGTTCATGTCCTCTCCAAGCGTAAGTACTGGGGCATACTTGAAGACGGCACAGAAATAAAACATTGCATGAAGTAAAAACGTTTTTATTCGAATTTGAATTAAAATGTGGGAATTCTTGGGAACGGGAAAGGCTTATTTACTTGAGGAACAGGTAAAGGTGGTGGAGGTGGTGGTGGAGGTGGTGGCAACCAGTCCATTTTATATTCCTTCCTAGCTAATTTCCGTTTAATTTCATGGTCGCCCTCGGAGTCTTTGAATCGGACAGGTCGAGTTACACCATTCTTGGTCTCAAACTCATATATAACCCGTTTGTCTGTATTTTCGTCGACTATGGCACGAGACACGAACATTGACCAAACGGACAAAAAGTGTCATTTCGGATGGTCAAGCAGCCAATCGCATTCGAGCACTTCGAAGAAGCCTTACATTCCAAGGGAGAGGGTGTCTGGTGCAAGGCAGAGGTCATGAGACTCTACGAGCAGTACATCCTCAATGCCTGGGAGGACAAATCGTCCTTGAATTGGCAATTCTACCAACTCCTCTGGGACGACCTCCTACGCAACTGGGATAACGAAAACGCCCAATTCAAAGGTCGGGAGCTAATTTTCCAAATTACCATTAATTGTGCCTACTTATCCAACTAAAAACTTAAATTTACTTGGGGTTTCCCCCTAAAATAAATTTTTTTACTCTTAGAACCACTCGAGGTTCTCCTTACGGTTGTTGAGCTTGTCACCGTCAATGTGTCTGACCTTCGTCTTCTTGCCTGGGTTTGGAACCCATTGAATTGCGACAAGCTTGCCCATGGAGATTGAACCGCGATTCCGAAGGTTAAGGTTCAAGTGTCCCAAGTTGTTGAGGACTGGGGTAAGAACCTTGCCTGTCTCCTTGTTGCGGATTTGGTATGGGTAGGGTTGGGAAATTTCGTAACCGTCATCGGCAACAAGGGTTGCCCATGTAGCGGCTTCAGGAACTTCTTCGTGTTTCTCTTCTTCCTCTTCTTCCTCGACAATTCCTTCTTCAATTTGGTACTCACGAAGTACGGTGTTGCATGTTCTGTCCTTTCCGAGTACCTTCCAGATGGCGTCTATCTCTTCGAAGAAACGGTAGATGAGTCTGGCAAGGTCTCGGTTCTCTCTCTCGTAATTGCGCAAGGTTTCCGCGAAATCGTTCAGGCATTTCTCATTGGAAGCTTGGTTCATGAGGACATCGGCTTTGAGATTGGTCATCTCTGTCATAAGACTACTTTGGAGAGTCTTAATGGTGTTTGTCAGATGAGCTTTCAATTGGGCAATTTGAATTTGAACTGGGCGCTTGTCTGGCAACCTTGAAAGGACATCTGCTATTGTGTTCGGCTTCGGTGCTTGTTCGGACATCGAAAAAATGAAGTGGTTTGAGAATGACGGTTTTACTTCAAAAAGCTGGTTATGACAGTTAAATCATACAACAAGTTTAAAATAATATCTTGCTCTTCTTCTGAACGTTTGTTGTCTCTTCCGATAAAAGTTTCGAACATGAGAACCAAAAAACGTTTTTTGAGATTGCGGAAGAGTTCAGGCAAACGTTCATATTCTGGATATGTTGGGAGCAGTTCAAAACATCTGAGCTGACTTTCGGACAAAATTGGGACAATGTCAGAAAATTCATCTTTGGTCGGACTGCTTGAAGGTAAGTCCCTTACATGTAAGTAGCTCTGGTAAAGTCTTCTCATCTCTGCTAACTTCTGGAGTATAGCTTCGTAATTTAAGAGTTTTAATTTTAATTGTCTTATTCCTCTCTTGACATCTAAACGGTAAGTATCCATGAGGTCAAGAGTAGCTTTGGTAGCTTTAAGTGGAGCTATCTCTTCTTTGACTTGTGCAATTTTGGTTGCAATTGTGGTTTGAGCTCCTTCAAGTTCGCCGTCTATGTCGTTCTCAACGCCTTCAACCATGGCTTGAAACTCTTCATCGGTCCATTGAGATTGGTGTGGGACGAATTTAACTTGCTTCATTCAAAAAATGAAAAAAATGTTTTTACTCAAAGCGTGCCATGTATATGGCTATAAGAAACTTACCAGAAGGCTTCTTCTTCACATGAGTAAAAACATAAAAAAAGTGAAGTTAAAATGAGATGTTTACTGAACTGGCTGAATGTCGCCTTCACAGGTTATGTAGAACGGCTGACCCGAGAAGTGAAGGAGAGACTGAATTGCCAATTTCATTATGGGTAGGGGTTCTCTCTTGTTTGGTATTTTTATCCAAGGACGTTTGTTTAGGAACTTAACAAGAGCTTCTCTTTTGGCGTCCTTTATGCCATCGTAGGCTGTCCCGTCTGGTATTTGAATTGGAATTCCAGTCGAAGTCTCGAGCTGAAGTGTAGACCTTCCAGAAATAGTGGTGAACTTGACCTTGGGCTTCATTACCTTGCGCAAGTAGTCTTTTACGCAGTCGTTAAGTTCAATGAGGTAAATTGCCTCGTCAAATCCTTCTGGCATTCCGAGTCCTTCCATCCGACAGGAAAATATTTTCCCGACAACTGGAAAAAATTTTCCGGACAAAGGGAAAAATTTTTCCCGACGACAGGAAGAACTCTTCCAGTTGTCCGTCCGTAAACCATTCAAATTTTCGAAAATTGAGAACTTTTTGGTCGAACTTTAGAAAAAATTTTCCTTCCGACAGAAAAAGTTTTTCCTTCCGACAGGAAAAATTTTTCCTTCCGACAGGACACAAACGGATGACTGACGTTCCTCTTCCTGAATGCCTTCCAAAGCCAGAAGAACCGAAAGCTGCAGAACCACAACAGTCTCCTCAGCAACCTCAGTTCCAGCAAGTACCTCCACCAAATTACTACCAATTTCCACCTCAAGGTTACTACCCACCACAAGGCTTCCCGAACTACCCTCCTCAACCTATGCCTTACTTCCCCAACCCTTGGTTGTTCCAGCAAGCTCCACCCCAGCAATTCCAATCTCAATCCCAATCGAAGAGAGCCCAAGAGTTCGAAGAAGGTCTGAACCGTTTACGCAAAGATTATGCCACAGCCCCGATGGAAGATGACAGGCTTTCAGTCTCTTCCCTAAGGTCGACCAATTCGACTCGTACCACAGATTCGGTTCGTGACCGTGACGACTACCTCAAGCAGTCTGAGAGACTCTTCATCTTACAGCCATTTACAGCTGGAGCTCTCAAGAACATGCGCAATTACGAAGGTCAAACACCAGCTGGAGACCGCAAAACAGACGTGCTTACAAGAGCAGTCCAACTGGTCAAGACAAAGACTGAGATAGTCGACTTCATACTTGCAGCTTACCCATACAAGTAAAAAAAAAATAAACAATTACGAATTAAACTTTTTACTCCTTCTTTTCTGAGTTGTTTAGAGCTGGTTTCTCTTGTAGAAACCTTTCGTACTCTTCCATGGTCATGTAATTGCGAATTTGATACGCAATTCCAGGTTCGTTGTTTTTGAACCTTACGTATGTAACGCTTCCATCCTCCTCAGGGAAGTAAGCTGCTAACATCTGACCAAGTTTTCTCGGTGACTCGGAGCTCATAAAATGTCACTTTTTAAACGTTAAGTTTTAGTCTTAATTTACCCTTTGTTTGTCAAGGTAGTATTGGAGCGCAATTTCTCCAAATTCTCTGTGTCGGAGTTCTTCAGCATTTTCCAAGGTGTACCTGGAGAACTCAAAGAAGTTGTCAAGAACATACTGCCATGCTGCTCTTCTGAGTTCGTCGGTATTTTGGAAGTGTTGCACCTTCGAGTCTTCGGACATGAAAAAAATGACACTTTTTCTATTAAACCGTTTTGGCATTTCTCATGAGTGAGTATAGTTCTGCCGAACCATTGGAAGAGAAGAAGTACCCTTGCTGGCAAAAGACAAAAATAGTTGCCTTAGTTGTCATTGCAATTGTACTCGTAATTGAATTCATTGTACTTCTCTTCACGTACATAAAACTCAGCAATGGCATATGCTTTAAGAAGTTACCATCTTACTAAGACTAAACACTTAGATTTTTCAAGCTTGACTTTTTACAATTTGAACTTTGTTTGCGTAGATATGAATTCTGAAAGAAGTATGAGGGTCTTGTATGACTTTGTACTTCTCCCATAGTTCATGTCTGTCAAACTTACCTGCCATGGATCTTTCATAAGTTCCATGAAATCGTCTTCGGACAATCCGGGAAAAGTACAATGTCAGTAAGTATTCTTTTAACATCCTTACTTAAACTCTTTGCTGTCTGTACACAAATGACAACTGAGATGTTAAAGTGTCTGAGCTTCTTAAGAATTCGACACATATCTTGTTCTCTGTTCTTTAACAAAGGATGAGAGGCGAAATCATCTAAGATAAGAAGACATCTATGAGGGTAAGTCTTCCAATCGTAAGATTGCAATTTCTTCGAAATGTATTCTATCTCTTTCTGTTTGTTTCTGAAGTGTTTCTTCTCTAATATAGGGTGTCCAAAGGTGCGTTTAGCACAGCGCTCTATATGAGACTATTAAAGGAGATATATGCTGATTATAAATATATAATAAAAAATATGAATATATGTATATGATGAGTATGTTGTATTTTGGCGCCATGCCGGAATATAAAATGAATTTTGAGACAAGAGGCGGTTTCGCGGGAAATTTTGGCGGGATTTTTTTCATTTTTTTAATGAATCATAAAGAAAACATCCTCGCTCTTGCAAAAAAATGAAAGACTGTAAAAAAATCTACGAGACATTGGTAAAATGCTTCGTATGGATGCTCCTAGCTATTCCACTGTAACGTATCATTAGGATGTATCACTTCATGAACAAAAAGGCGCCCATCATAAAAATTGACAAAAAATCGCCGCGATCAAAGAAAAATCAAAACAATTCTTCAAGCGCTAGATGAAGACCAAGAGCATCACTCAGAAGGATAGAGGAGATGACAAAGATACCACGTACAACAGTCAGTTATTATCTGCACAATTATTTGAACTACAAACTAGCGTATACACGTTGGGTTCCGCACAACCTTAATTCAGTTCAAAAAAAATCTAGAGTCCAATCTTCGAAAGAGCTCCTCTCTATATTTGGGTGCGTATCAATCCAAGAAGTTTCGCTTTTTAGTAACAGGGGACGAGTCTTGGTTTCAATATGCAACAGAAGCCAAAATCATGTGGATCCCGAAGGATGAAAATCCGCAAACATTCCCGAAGAAAAAAATTGACACACCAATGATGATGTTGTCGGTTTTTTGGGGCTGTGAATGGCATCATCGCAATTGATATTCTTTCAAAAACCTAATACATGAATGCTCAGTATCTAATTGACAATGTTCTTACTCAAATTATCAATTCTGATGAGTTTGAGAAATCCAAACAACAAAAACAAAAGTTTGCAATTCATTTTGATAATTCAAGAGTTCACAAAAGTCATAAGGTAATGAATTACTTGGTGGAAAACAATGTCAAAGTTGTTCCAAAACCAATTTATTCACCTGATTATTGCACCCTCTGACTTTTATTTATTCGGCACGCTAAAAAAGAGAGCTGAAGGACGCGAATTCGCGAGTCCAGATGATTCTTGAAAATTTTGTAAGAGAGCAATTGAGCAATTTTCTCATGATGATTTAAAGCGTGTCTTTCAAGCCTGGATCGATCGCTGCGAACGCGTGATTGAATCCAATGGTGATTATATTTAAATAAACTTTATATATATGTAACTTGTTTATTTCTATTCGCAGTATTCAGGTTTGTGCTAAACACACCTTTGGACACCCTATATTCTCTGCATTTCCTCATTTGGGTCTTTGAACTTAGAATTTATATACTCATTTATAGCATTATACTTCAAAACTCTTCTTTGGTACTTCTTTATCCAATCTAACAACTCAGTATCCTTTATACATACTAACTTAGACTTCTTTATAATATCTTTGAACGAATTGACGGTTTGGTCAAATTGACCAGAAGTCGAACAAATAACAACTAACTCATAGAATGGGTTCTTCTCATCTAGTTTTGTTGTTGTGCAGCCATTTTAAGATAAGTGAAAGTCTTACCCGACCCAGGCGGTGCAATTAGACCTGTTATACCATTCTGAGCAAATAAGAACTTTTCATGTATAGGCTTTATCTGAGCATTTTCTAACTTCCTCTTGTTCTGTTTAAAACATTCTCAAATTTCTTGTCAATGTCAGCAAACTTTTTTTCTAACATATTTTTAGAAAAATTAAAATTTTTATCTTTTAGAAAATGTCTAGCGATTTCGCTATCTATATTCGAGACAAACTTTTTGACAGCAAAACATCTGTCGACCATAAAATCTTACATAGTGTAAACAAGAAAGGTGAATTTGTTCTAAAGTTCTGTTTCTGGGAATATGACAAGAACCATAAAACATTACAAAGAGCAGTCTTAAAATTTGTCAATGACAGACTTGTTGACAGAGATGACGCCGATTGGAGAGATGAAGTCCAACAAAACTTCTTAGAATGCAAAGAAGACACATGCGCTGTTCTTGAAGATGAAATAGAAAACAGAATAGATGAGCTATTAAAGGACAAAGAACTTTTACATAAATATGGTTCGGAGAAATTTGACATAACTCCACCAGAAAAGAAGAAGAGAGAAAAGAAAGAAAAGAAAGTAGAAGAAGAGAAGAAAGAACCTGAACCAGTTCCAGAGAAAAAAGAAATTTGACATGTAAAAATAAAATTTTATTTTTAGAACATTTCTGGGTCAATGTCAATGTTCTCTTCCTCTTTAGGAGTAAACACTGGCTTAGACTCTAAAATCTTTTTACCCAATTTACCTTGAACTTCTACAACTTTTAGACTCATAATATTCATAGTCGTCTGTCTTCTTTGGTTCATAAGGTATAACAAGTTGTATGCTTTGCCTTCTTTAAGGTTTGAGAACCTTCTGGCAAAACTTTCTTTGACTGTTAACAACCTTCTATGTCTAAGTCTTCAAATTTCGCACCATTTTTAGTCACAATAGCAAACTTAACTGGTTCGATGTTCCAAACTTTGCTGAATGAAGACTTTTCAAAATGGTAGAAGTAAACATTCAAATATGTGAATGGGTCTAGTTCTTCTTTAAGTCCTGACATGTACTTGTTTACCGAGATGAATTTCGTCATCTTTTCTATCGGATAAAAAATATTTTTTTTAAAATTTACTCAGAAAAATTTTTCTTTGTATATACACCATTCTGTACGTCTAAAAGACTTTTGACATTTGCCAAGAATGTACGTTTAGAAGCTGCCATATAACCATATTCTTGACAATATTGTTTATATTCATCATATAAAGACTTTTCATCTAAACACTCAAAGTCGCTTTCTTCTATGAACAGTTCATATACACTCTTGTTTGCTTCTAACAATGTTTGTCTCTCTTCGGTATGTGGAATTTGTCTTGGATTGAACTTAGAAATATCTAATGTCATGAAATATGAGAACAAGTGGTTGTAAAAGTCAGATGTCAAAGTTTCTGCTAAGTCGTCAAAATATTCTGTATCTTGCATATGAGAATCTGACGTTCTGACAACTACATATCTTCTGTCAGAACTTTCTAACTTCATCGGAACAGCATTGTTTGAAACCATAATGAAGTTTGCAACATTCTCACAAACTCTTTGGTCTTTATACTTTCTTTCAACAACTCCAACTTTGTCTGTTATAAGACTCTTCAAAGCATCTGAGTTCAAAACTTTTGTTGTATCTATACTTTGAAGTTCATTGCAAACTATAAGTTTCATATTCTCAGTTAGTATGGCTAAGTCGTGTACTGAGGCACTGCGCGCCTCCGTACACCACTTAACCTTAAATATTTACAAAACCGTTAACGTATATTTTACAACACAAACGACAACACTAACTTAACCTTAAATATTTACAAAGCCACCAACCACTTCACCTCACTAATGTAAAAAATAAACGTTCTCACTTACAAAAGTATTGCAACTCCTCCCATTGCTGTGCTTCATATAACAGCTCATAATCTTCTGACTCACTTTCTTCTTCATATAGGTCAAAATCACTGTCAAAATGAATGTTAGTAAGTTTTGACAAAGCTAATGAAATACGTTTACCGTTTGTATCGTATGCTTGTATAAACTTTCCATTCTTCATTCCTTCATAAACGCTCAAACTAACTTTACCCTTTCTCCCTCGTATCTGATAGAATGTATTTTCACGAGGAACGAAGAACAAATTATTGAACTCATGACCGTTGTAGTTTGTTATCTCAATAGTTTTCGTCATTTATATAAAAATAAAATAAAAAATAAAATAAAAAAATAAACTTAAAAATAAATGATATCACCACCCTCACACGTATGAAAACATAGCACAAAAATAAATTTAGGTGAAGTGGTGAGATCTCACCTGTTTTTTCACCCTGTTGAATTCATTGCTTTATAACTCTCTTCCTTGGTTTCTTTTTAGTTGCTTTCTTCACGTCTGTCTCCAACTTGACTATCTTTCTTCTTCGTCCGTAATGATACCAGTTACTTCCACCAGTCAATGGGTCAAATGGTCGTTCATAAGGGTTTCCATACATTCCATAGGGACCATACGGAAGAACTACTAGTGGAGAAGAAACATTTTCTTTAGTTCCATCGACTCTATTTAAATGCATTGTTTCACCTTTCATCTGGTCATTAAAGTCTTTTGCGTGTTTTGCAAACTCATCATCCTTTCCTAAAGCATTTTCTGACTCAGTCGCAACCAAATTGGATGCTTTATTTATGAGCCCTATTTTATTTAATCTTAACTTCTTTGCAACCCAGCCTCCAATCTTCCCTTTATTTGCATCTAATGTCTTCGAAACCCTTCCTCCACTCATTTTATTTACTGCGTCATAAGCTCCAAGTGCTTTTGCTCCAAATGCTAATGCTTTTTGTTCCCATTGCGCCTAAAGCTGCCCAAGCTACCATTTACACCATATTAAAATCATCTCTCTTCAATATTATCTCATAAAAGTTCTCGTTACTGGAGAAAGTCAATGAAACATAAGCGTTCTCACGGGCTTCGCCCTCACCGCTTTGCGTCTATCTAACTTCTTTCTTATCTCATCTATACGCTTCAAAATGTCTGAACAATTGCTAACATCTTCTACAACAGTTATTTCATCATGAATGACCTTCAAGAACAAGCTCATTTAATATGCTATTAAAATCATCTCAATAATGAGTCCATCCTTTCCATCTTTAGGTAGCACAACATCTTTCATTGAAGAAGGTTCGACAAGTCTTATGTTAAACTTACTGACAAAGTTTGTTATACTATAATGCTTCGGTGGCGAATACATGTAGTTTGAAAGACATAATATAGATTCTTCAGCAAATTCACTTATACTGGATTTTATAACAATGTTCTCACGAGACCAAATGCCTCCAATTGACAATCTTGTAAGCAATCCTGCTGAACCTTCTACTGTAAACGTCGATGGTAACATTCCACGAAGGTCATCTATTGACATCGTTGAGTCACTGTATTTAAATATTTTCTTAAAGCAATCGTCATTATCTAACCATGCAATAGCTTTGAAGTTTTCATTCGAATATACATCTGCTTCATTAAATGTAAAACCTGACTTCTTTGCAGAGACGATTTTAAAATCTATTGCATTTGTTTCAAAATTATATGCTATGGTAACTTCTGAAGGTAATGGATGCCCTTCCGCAGTCAGTTGTTCTCTCACTACCGTTTGAAGCTTTGTATTAAAAACTTTCATGTCATCTCCTGTATCTAAGTTCACATACACAGCAACAGGGAAACTATCTTGCTTCTTTGTTTCATCATTATACCTCAAAACATTAAAGTTCTTCAATAATATTGTTCTTCCTGCTGGAATACTTCGAACCTGTCTGATTTCAATAGCTTTCTCACCTCCTACATACTCTACCAGTGTCTTGGATATTCATAAGTATACTGACTTTCTTGAATTTTGGTAGGTTTCATCATAACGTGTTCATAGTATATCTTTATACTCTTGTCAGTTAGACTCGGTGCTATGTTCTGAATATTTCTGACTTGCATTTTTAATGGAGATAAAATGAAGCATTTAATACATGACGTAGATGAAGACATGAATGAAACTACAGACAAACTTAACTCTTCTCTTATTCTTCCTTTCAGCAAAGATTATGAGTTCTGTTCAAATGGTGTGTATTTCTATTGTGGAAAGATGGGTTCAGGTAAGACATTTAACCTCATTCGTCATATACTCATAACAGAGCGTTTAGGAAACGACTCTTACTATGACCAAATCATTATATCAGCAACTTCAGACTCTATGGACTCAACAGCGAAAACATTTATGTCAAAAGTTCAAGCCTCTGTCGTTAAAGTTCCAGACAGTGAACTAATTGAATTTCTTCAACGTTACATTCGACGTAAGAGGAAATATTATGCCATCGTTGAATTTATACAGTCAGGAATGCAAAAGACTTCTGAGGAGATGGAAAGAATTATTGACAAACACCACTTACGTCAGTACTCAGGAGTTTACGATATGAAACGACTTACAAACTACATTCTGTCAAAACTTTCAAAATACCCCTTCAAAATGTATCCTTCAAACACTTTGCTCGTTTGTGACGACTTCGCCGGAAAAGGTTTAGTGTCAAAACCAGACTCACCATTAGCTAACATCATAACTAAAGTCAGACATTACCACTTAACTGTAGCAATACTTATGCAAACATGGAGGTTTTTAGCTTTAAACATAAAACGTCTCATAACTGACTTCGTTATCTTTCAAGGTTTCTCACGTTATGATATTGAACTCATTTGGAAACAGTCAGGTATAACATTACCTTTTGAAGAAATTTGGGAAGCATATAAGTCTCTCATCTCTCCTCGTTCATACCTTGAGATTCATATCATGACTAATACCATTAAAGTCAAAAATATTCCATGGGAACGACCAACATTGTTTTAAAGTTTAACCTTCAATTGACTGATGGTAAACAAATTCCATGCATCTCTGTCGCCATTTCTGTTAATATTTTTGCTGTCATTCATATCATCCACTTCCCCATCCGTTAGCTTTTGAGGATATGCGTTAGAATAGCTGTTCTTAAATGAAGGCTTTTCACCTTTGAGAGCATAAACTCGATAACTTTCTGCATACTTTATGTTTGAACCTCCTGAGCCATCATTGACATAAATTTTTATAGGCTTCCACCCTTTGTTCATATTCCTGCTTCTTCCATTAGCTCTTTTGTTCAGTAGTTCTACATCTTTATACACAGCACCTGTCTCAGTGAATTCAACAATATTTTCATTCGTTAGCTTTACATTCAAACCCTTGTCGAGTATATTGTTCATTTCATACATATAAAAGGTTTTTATTCTATATGAAATGAGAAGCAAATCCATCTTAGCTGGTGCCGTTAATGTTCCAATTGAACCAACATCAAATGTTGACTCACGAACGACAAACAATATTGTCATAAAGAACTATAGTTCGGAGTGTTTGAAAGAAAAAGAACCAGAACTGAAATCCGTGAATTTAAACTCAGCTTCAAGTGCAAACGCTACATCAGATGTTAAGTTAGAGTATCCACCATTAGACCAAATTCTTTCAAGAGAAGCCAACGACAACCCTTACACAAACATTCAAACGAATCCTTCAGATAACATAGACCATTACCTTCTTCAGTTATACCAAACAATTTTACTCAAAGACGATAAGAAGCTTTTGGTAAATCTTATAAGCAAGAACCAAATAATTCTAACAAAGGAGGACCTTGAAAATGTTATATCACGAATAACAGGGAAACAATGTGTCATTGACTATCTCGACCCTGAAATCGAATGCTGTGGTCAAACGCCACCATTCATGAAAATAGGTAACATCCGCATCATTGAAACACCAGGAACTACAGGAGTTGAGTTTAAGTATAAATATTCGAACGAGTATACAAAACTTTCAACAGAATATAAACTTTGCTTGAAATATGTTTTAGTAAATTAAAGCAATTTGTAATATCTATCCAAAACTTCTTCAACAGTATCGAACTCATCTTCATAATGCAAACCTAATCTTATTGACTTGGTGCAGTTTTCACTAACACAATATTTTTCTGTTCTCTTGACTGACATAACTAATTCATTTGTTTCATCAAACAGCAACAACCAAAGTTCATGACCTAATACATAACATTCATACTTTATATTTTTAGCTCTGAGTTCTCTTGTAAGCTGTTGCATTTAATATTTTCTAAAAAGTCAACTTCAACAGTCATTCGCACTGGTGCCTTCAGTTCTACAGGCTCTCCTTGAAAGTCAACAAGTCTGAATTGCATGTCTTTCAAATTATGAGGACTAATGCGAACCCATTTACCTAAATGAGTTGCTATGACAGGAACGTTTGGAATGAACATTGAATTGACTGCATAACAGAAGGATTTATATTCTACTGAACCTTTACTATTAACTCCTGAAATGCCTGTGACATTAGCTATTTTAGACTCAATGTATAAACAATTACCATAACATACGTATGGAACAGATTTCATCTCAATCGTTTTGTCAACACTTTTTAAAGGAAATGTCATATGGTATGCTCCTAAAAGCAATTGAACTCTATGACTCATTCTTGGTATCTTAAACTCCTTCACATAACTGAACTTCAAAACTCCTGCAATAAGTTTAACATTCATTAAGTTTTCTTCGTTATCCTTGTTTATTGTAGTATTTATGAGAGCATTTAACACTCCAGCTAATGTTTCCATCTTATATTCTACATTATTGTGAAATCTTATTTCGTGCTTCTTTCCATCTATTTCAATCTCCATGAAATCTGTTTCATCTGTTATAACGAATGAAGCGATAGTATTGAAGTCAACCATTCTGAATGCAAGCGCCTCATTCTGTAGACCTAAGTTTGTTTGTAGCTTTACTGTCCCGTATTCGTTTGGGTCTGTACTTTGCAAATAGAACAACATTTTATTCTCATTAAAATATGAGTATAGCTGCATATGCGTATGAAGCTGACAGAGCTAAACGTTTATATTTTGGTCAATACTCTCTCACACTTACTGACAAATATATTGTTATCACTGATGGAAATACTGAGAAATACATAACATGGAAGGACTATGAAAAGTTTGACCCTATTTTAACTCCATGTACTATGCCATTTATAAAGGACGGTGAAATTATTGAAAAAGATAATACAACCGTATATAGGTCTGTTTATGAAGCATTAGAATATATGTTGAATCATAACCCAAAAAGATTCGATCCAAGCACTACACCATGTGCAATGCCTTTTATTAAGGACGGTGAAATCGTAAGAGTTCCGGATTCAACGGTTTACACAGCTGTTCAAAACAGTTTACAAAACATTTTAGCGAATATCTTTAATTCAGAAACTACAGAAATGAAATTACCATATATAACAGATGCTAAAGAAATTAAATCAAAAACGACAACATTATTTACGTCACTTAATGATTTAATGACTTATATAATTAATACTCCTTCTCCGACTACAGCATTTGATCCAAACTCGACGGTTTGCAGTGTACCTTTCATAAATGACAGTTCATTAATTGCTTTAAGGGATTCGACAGTAAATGAATCATTAAAGGCGTCATTAATGAAAATCATTGATTTTAACTCATTCACGAATACATATAATTCATTCATTAATGTTTCATATGCTTCTAAAGAATGTGAGCCAAAAACTATCGATAAAGCGGTGTATGAAATAAAAGCATCAACGACGAAATTGAATTCGTTAACTTTGACGGTGATAGTTTCGTTAATGACATAACATCAGGGAAAACAATTTTAACGAAAGAATATTTAAAATCTCATGTTAGTGAGTTCGTTGAAATTGAAAAAGAAGGTGGAATTAAGTTCGATCCACTGAATTTCATTTTCAGCTTAGCGAATGCAGGAATTAATTTTGCTGAATGGACAACTATACAGAGTGAAATAAATGCAATATGGACGTTTTTGGGGTCAAAAGCGGGAATGGGTGAGCTTGTAAATGCTGCAAGAACATTAGGTGAAACAGGAAATTTTGTAGATGGTTTTAAAAGACTTGTTTCAAATGTTTTAACAAACACAAAGAAATTATTTAGATATACCGTACATAACGGACGGATTTTCGAACAGATAGCAACAAACCTCCGGTTATGGCTGCGTTGATGATGGTTAGAGATATAAAACCACGTAACGACGGGAACGAAGAACATGAACAACAGGATACTGGTCGGGTTATTCGAGACATTAAAAACGTGTATCCTGAAGTTATTGATTTATTTAGAGGAGTTAATGATTCAATTTCAAAACATTCTATAACCCTCGATGAAGAGAATAAATTAACAGATTATATATTCGTCATTATTGCAGAACTAATGAAGAGAATAAATGAAAAAGGAATTGGTGATATCATTAATGTCAGCGATGTAATGATGAAAAGAAATTTTGACTCATTATTTACAAAACCGAAAACAGAATATAGTCTTTATGACGTAATTACCGAATTAATGAAAAAGATTAATGATAATAAGAGTTCTGGCGGAAGAGTTGAATTAGAAGTGAATGATGTTAATGAGAAATTAGCCGAAAAAGCAGACAAAAATGAGCTTTTAGCTCTGAGTGATAAAGTCAAGAACCACGTTCATTATATAACTTCAGACGAACAGATTATAACGGACTACCATGGATATTTAACACAAGGTGATGAAGCGAAGACAAAAAATGTTAATGAAAGAAGATATAAATACATTCGTGCTAAAGGTTATGACATAAGCTGTACTGTACAGTATGATGTAGCTAAAGCACCAGAAGCATTTGGTTATACCGGTGAAATTTATGCCTCTACTTTCAATGTTAACGGTGTATTAGTTGAACCAAGATTTACTTTGAGAGTTAAGGCAGAAATAACGTTTGAAGATGCTATTAAAAGTAAAGCTGACAAAGTTGAACTCGAAGCAATGAACAAAGTTTTGAAATCTCATAAACACAACATCTCCGATATAAATGAACTTCAAGCTACATTAGACAGTAAAGCCGACAAGAACCATACAAACGAATCCTTCACTACTGTTAGAGCAGACGATGTAATATTGAACTATACCCTTGGTTCAAGTGCACCTTTAGAGAATCCAAGTACAAGCGTAAAAGATACACTAAACAATTTAGATAACAGTTGCAGGAATATCGAAGATCATGCCAGAAACTTTGAAGCATATGAACTACCAGCAATGTTAGATAAGAAAGCTGACAAAACTTATGTAGATGAAAATTATGCAAAGAAGTCGGAAGTAAATGCTGCGGTTAATGGAAAAGCTGATAAAGAGCACGTGCATGAAGAATTTCAAACAATCAGGATTAAAGAAATTAAGGCATGCATCGAAATAGTAACAAAAACAGGAAGAAACGGTGCAACTGTACATGAACAAAGAATTTATCCTCCGACTTTTCCTAATGGTTTAATAACAAACAATATAAATATTGTAGATGGCGATGGATTTATAAATGTTAAACATGAACTTCAAACAATGAAGGCTCAGATTCTTGAAACCATATATCCTATAGGCTCTATTTATACGTCAATGAACTCAACAAATCCAGCAAGTGTTTTAGGTTTTGGTACATGGCAGCAGATTGTAGACAAATTCTTATACTGTGCTAACTCTTCAAAGCAAACAGGAGGTTCGAAGAAAATTACTGAAGCAAACCTTCCACCGCACACTCATACAGGAACTACAAACTTTTCTGGCGACCATAGCCACTCATTAAGAGACCACCCATTATACAACTCAGAGTATGAAGCTGGCAATGACGTTTTATCTCCATCTTATAACAATTCAGCAAAAAAGATTTTTCGACCAACTGAACCAGGAGGAAATCATGTCCATACTTTCACAACAAATCCAACAGGCTCGGGTGCAGATTATATGCCACCATTTGTGACTGTATTCGCATGGTACCGCGTTCAATGAACGCGCTTGAGCCTAGAATAAAATCTTTAACTTTACATAAATGAGCTTGAAAGAAGTATTCGAACAACATCCATGGAGGTCATTTAAGAAGTTCAATGAAGCTGCAAAGAGTTGGGGATTTACTAACAGAGCTGAAGTGAAAAGGTTCTTTGACAAAAATGTTGTACATCAAACAAAAATAAACCCTTACGACTACTTTTTACCAATTTACTCCAACACTCCTGACGCATACCAATTTGACACTCTCATTCAAAGCAGAAAAGGAGGACATAAACCATTCCTCATCTTCATTAATGTTAACACTCGTAAAGCATATGCATATATAATGAAAAATAAAGGAACTCGTGAAGTGTTAAGAGTTTTACAAAAGTTTGTAGCAGAACATAGCCCAAGTACTTTAACATCAGACCAAGACAGTGCATACCTCAGCAATGAAATCACAGATTTTCTCATTAAGCATAACATAACTCACTACACTACTGAAGACCATAACCATAACATACTCGGCATCATAAACCGCTTCATAAGAACGCTCAGAGATTTAAATCAAGAGCGAGACTTTACCGAAGAAACAATGAAACATTTTCTCGAAGTATATAATTCCTCAACACATTCTACAACAGGACATACACCAAATTCAATGACACAACAACAAGAAGAAAAGTATATACAAAAGAAACGAAGCCAAACACAAAATATCAGAAATTCAACACAATTTACCCTCATTCCTGGTACAAAAGTTCGTGTAGTTCTTGACGACAAACCGTTGACAAAGAAACGTTTAAGGTTAAGTAGAAACTATTATATCGTAGACTCTACGCAAGGTAATGGATATCTTATAAAAGCTGCTGACGACTCTATTGCGTTTTACCCTCGACATAAATTAGTCGAAAGTAGTAATGGCAAACTTGCTGAAACCATTGACGAAGCAAAGCGAGGAGTGGTTATTGAAATACTTGGCTATAACATAAACGATGACACTTATAAAGTAAGATATGAAGGAGGCGTTGAAGATGTTATACCATCTAAGAACTTGAGAGAGTCAAAGCCAACACATCTGGGACCATTAGAGCGGGAGTACTGGAAAGACAAAAATAAGCCAGAAAGAATAAGAAAATTCTTCTAAACTTTTTCATTAGATGTAAATCAGACATGAATGAGAACAGTCATGATATCATTAATGGTACCATTTATTTTTGTCATAAATTTACACCAAAAATAATTAGGTGAAGAGGTGAGATCTCACCCGTTTTTTCACCTCTTTTTTCACCCTCATGAATTTTCATGAATTTCCTTAAGATAGAAAAAATAAAGTTAGTTTTATTTTTATTTATTTTTTTATTTTGTATGTAAAGATATGATTTCAACAATCGGCACAACAGCAATTCAAGCCGCGAACGGCAGGACTCTGTCCGCAACAGCACCAAACTCGTTAGTTATGAATCCTACGTCAATGTTAGTAGAAATGAAAAACTTCATTCCTTCTTCATATACTTTCGAAACAAAAATCCAGAAGATAAAGCAAGAACTGTTAACAAGTAATTTAGACTGTACCGCACAGGATGAAGAAAATGAAGAATATCTTTATGACATGCAGGACCTCATCGACCATTTACCTAAACTACCTGAAATTCAGCAACAAAAACTAACCATTCCCGAATTTGACGAAATTGAAGTCAAAGCAACTGACTCAGTAGAAATAAAGAAGTTCATACGAAAGGTAAACTATGAGTTTCTAGGATATCATTGCAACCATAAAGTTATGGACAAAGATTGCGACATGGTTTATAAAAATATTTCTGACCTTTACAAATCCGAAGAATTTAAGACATACGACAACTTTGTTTCATTATTGCAGAATGTGTATGGCAGATAAGAGATAAAGATAGAAGAGGTAAAGTATGGAATGAACAGATAAAACCAGCAGCTTTTGAGTTAAAGAAAACCATTGACGCCTTAGTTGTTCTAGCTGGTTTTATTTCAATGTATAACGCAAAAACGATGCCGCAATGTTCAAAATGTAAAGCAGCAATAAGAAAATATAACTACTCAGTCAAAGAGATAGAAAGAATGCGAAACGACTATGCAGACTTAAAGAAAGAAGCAGAAAAGCCAGCAGAAGATAAAATGGATATGTTGACATTTCTTAATAAAAACTATCCAACAGCAGAAGATTTCCTTCTGTCTGACGTCAAGAAGAAGTATAAAGAAACTTTCGGCATGTTAAAACATTCGATGTACTAAAAGAAGAAATAGAAGCTACGAAACTGTTTAGGATTTCAAATATACATCGTACAATTCATGTAAAACGCTTGTGAAAAAACAGGTGAGAAAACAGGTGAGAAAACGGGTGAGATCTCACCTCTTCACCTAAACATTATTTTTGCTGAAAAATGACCAAATTTCATGAATTTTCATAAAAGATAAAAATAAAGTTAGTTTTATTTTTATTTATTTTTTTATCTTGTATGTAAAGACAGTAATGACAAACATTGAGTTTGAAACAGTTAGAAAGATTGACAATGACACCAAAGTGGTTAGAATAGGTGATTTAAACGTAAGATACTCAAAGAAATACAACAAATATTCTTTGTCAGACATTATAACACCTTCTGGAAAGAAAACAAAGGACTGGGTTAGAATTGCTTCTACTCAGAAAATTTTGACAAGAAATCCTGAGCTCATGATATCAGTAGCATTTCATGGAACAAGAGCATATCTTATAGACAAAAGTCTTATACCAATAGTTTTGTTATGGTTAGACCCAGTTGTTGGATATAACTTCATAACATATGGTTCATTCGATACGGAACGTTGCAGTGAAGGCTTACTTTACATCGTTCAGAAACCGAAGGACTTCAACACAAAAAGATATAAGATAGGAAGGACATATAATATAACTCAAAGATATGACAGTACAGTCAATAGAGTCAAGGTTGTGTTCGTTAATGATATGAGAGCTGCTGAAACAGAACTGCTTGAAGTTTTTGAGAAAATGTATGGTGCTCCCACGAAAGGTAAAGAAACGTTTGAAGTAGATGAGATAGATAAAGCTATAAAATTATTTGACGAAGTTGCTGAAAAATACATGTAAAGCGTTTATTTTTGGTCTTTTGTGAAAGTCAGAAAATAAAGTTAGTTTTATTTTTATTTATTTTTTTATCTTGTATGTAAAGACAGTAATGTCAACATCAGAGAACACAACAACTGCTATCGTTCATGAAGCCATAAATGAAGAATACGAATACATACAGTATAACAAACAATTGACTCATTCGTTCAGTCAAAGATGACATGTACCAAATGCAAAGTATAATGAATGCTCTTCGTTCTACAAAGCAAGCATATCATTGGTTTGAAAACCAACAGACAAAAGAACTTTTAGAAGAATTTCTCATATGATTGCTTCCCTCGGAAAACCGAGAGAAGAGATTCCGTACGAAAATCGCAAGAATTTGGCTCCTGGTTTGAAAGGTTATTATGTTCATAGACTTTTAGTAAACGCTGTAGCAATGTGGGCTTCACCTCGTTATGCTTGTTATATTTTCATGATGTTAGATGAACTATATAAAGCAGAACGCGGAGAGATGGAAAAGAAACTTCAAGCAAAAGATGAAGTCATTGAATCCAAAGACAAAAGCATACAGAAAAGAATACCGCGTTCAGTACCAAAAGGAAAGGAAAAGAGTTATAGGTATATGATATATACTGAAGAATTGGAGAAAGAAGAAGATAAAGATATGGTTATGTTGCATTTAGTCAGAAGAAACAACAAGAGCTTTTATGACTTAGCTAAAATATATAAATCTGACAGAAACTGGTTCTATCGTGAAAACTTACCGATTTCAATGACACCGAATGAGCAAATAAAGGAAATTGTCAAAAATACTCTTCCTCAAACACACTATGACATCAAAGGTTGCACAATACTTACATTCAAAGAAGACTTAACATTACTGAAGGAAAAAATAACAGAATATTTCGATAACTTCAAAGAGGAAGAATGAAGTCACGACAACATTAACGAAGAAGTCACGACAACATTAACGAAAAGAGAATGAGGTGAAAAAAGAGGTGAAAAAACGGGTGAGATCTCACCTCTTCACCTAAAAATATATTTTTGTGCTATATTTACACTCATTTACGAAGAAGTCATGAATCCTACGTCAATTATGTTCGACACTGATAACATTAACGATAACATAACGATAACATTAACGATAACATTCATTTTTTGCATTACTGGTGTGTCAAAATGTGTCATGTTGCATCATTTTAAAAGAAGTTAATTAACCTGGTGACATGGTGACGTGGTGACATGGTGACACCTCAGTTACTCAAAAATATATTTTGGTTAAATAGCTTCAGGGTCTATTTCTTCAAACCATTTCACTTTCTTCGTCAATGTCACATAGAAGCTTCTTCAACCTTTGGTAAGAATTTCTGTATAACATCTTTGTTCGTTATTGTCTTTCAGAGATGAAAGGATAATATTTCACATTTGTTTCAACCCTTCTTATAATTCTTTCTGTCGGAAAAGATTATAGCCAATACTGAAGAAGTAAAAGTTAGAGTTCTTTAAGACAGTATAATGAGTATCTTGACATTCACGAGAAACTCTTTTGTTTCAAACTACTGCTAACTCTTAGTGAAGTATAACGTTTGCGGTCAATGACGATAGCTAATGGTCTGACATACTGACCAACTTAGATCTTTCACAAACTTCTTGTTAAGATAACATTAAATTTGAAGCATTATTGAACTCATTCTTGATGGCAGTAGCGAGAGCATTGTATGAAAAGAACTTGCAATCTTGATGTGTTTCCATAAAATAAAATATTAAATTATTTTGAAAAATACTTTAAAAAAATCTAATCTAATTTTTTCAAAAAATATTTTTTGTATTTCCTACTAAAGATGTATGCGAAGTTGTCTAAGTCTAGAACACTACGGAAATAAAACAACTTCTTAACAGAAAGCTAACATAGAATAAGTAGCAAAACATTACGCGCAACAAACAAAAAAGCACTCGCTGACTTCTTAAAGACTATAATGGTGCAATAAGTTATGATAGAATTCATGAGTTCATAACAGGCACGCACGGCCGAGGACGAAGTCCATTGCAAAAGAGCATTTCCTTTAAATGACGTTGCTAATTGACTATATATCATAGGACGTTTCACAGTACCTCATGAAGTAAGAAGAGAAATGTTTGACATAACAAATGCAAACGTTCGGTGAAACAAGAGAAGAGACGACAACAGACACACTGAACACAACAAGAAGTGAGATGTTTAACGTGCTATTAGATACAGTTTCGCAAAAGCTCATCACGATGTCATTCGTTCACATTGACTTGATACTCAAACCAAAAGAAGGGAGAGATGGTTAAAGAAAGTATGAAGAAATATAGAGAAAAATGTGAAATCAGTCTCCAATTAGACTCATTGATCTCTTTAATATCGAAGCTATTATACTGATGAACCATTAACGAGAACTACTTCTAACAAACATTTCGTAGTTTTCATGAGCACTCAATCAGAGAAATTAATTTCTAATAAGCAATTCAACAACAAAGCAAATGGCATGTAGATTGTATCAATAACATTGGTGGACAAGTATGAATGTTTTACGTTAAACCTCAATAACTATTGGAACAATTACTACAAATCAGCCTCTATGTAAGGAAACTTCATATCAGTAGTATGATAGAAAGACAAATTGCTAAGCCATATTGTATTATCTTTGTAGTTTTAATGCACATGACTTCTTGCTTGCAACAAAATAATCTTATGAAATTAAAGATTTATGATTACAGAATATGGAAGGCTTAACGAGTCAATGTAAAAGAAAGGTCAAATTCAAAAAAGAACCATTAATTTAGAGAATGAAAGACAACTGACAAATGACAGGAAACGCCAATGTTTTGAAGCTCGTTTAAGCAAACAGAAACCACACTATATAGGAAAGCTTTGAAACTAATGTGATAAAGACGGTTTTATAAGAAGAGATAAGTCGTTCTATGTTCTGTTAATAGTATCTTTGCACTATACCCTGGTATAATCCCTCGAGCCTTCTCAAATCTTCACTTTGAAACTGCCCTGAAGCCATAAATTAATGCCGAATAACCTGTGATTATTACAGTCAGAGTGACACTCATTTTGTTACGGTATATCTTTGCTTCTAGTTCTGAAGTAGTTGAATCTACACCACACTTATTGCTGACCCCATGAGAGAATCATTCGTTCTGTTTCCGAGATTTCACTCAAAGATAAATACTTAAGATATTTCTGATCGCAACAGACGAATTTCGAACTGTATATCATTTAATATACATTCTGGTTACTTCAATGACTCCAAGACATATGAAACATAAAGAAAT